ACGGTGAATTAACGGTACTTAATGGAAAAGTTAATGGATCGGATAATCATATAATTAAGGATAAATTAGGAAATCTCAAAGAAAAATTAAAATCTGAACTATTCATTTGATTAATAATTAATCTACCCAATGTTTATAATTAAATAAATATTTGAAAGTATATTAATGCAAGATTATATATGAGAAGTTCAACATAAGTAATTTAATGTCTAATTTATTTATTTAAATATGTAATTCATAGTATATGAATACAATGTAATATAGGAGATTCATTATAATTGTTACTAAACAAATTTTAAATAGTAACCAAGTATTTTTGTTGCAAAGGGTTCTAATATATTTAATGAATGCACGTATATACAAGATCAATGAATAAATCAACGGTACCAGTCCTTTAGGTGTTTTGCTCAGTGTTCATTTAGTTCAACCATTACAGGGCGTTTGGTTGGAGGGGGGAATTATGTGGGAAAAGAATTGTAATTCCATGGGAGTTGAATTATTGGGAATAAAGTGAGAATTTAAATTCCAGTGTTTGGTTGATAGGAATAGAATTACTGGAAATTTCAATTCCAATGTTTGGTATACATGGGAATTGAAAGGGAATAAGTAGTATAAAGTCAAAAATGTCCATTATTGTTGTTAGACATTAATTTTAGGTTAAAAAAGAAAAGGGTAATTTTGACTCATCACTATCTTTTTTTCCCAGAAATTAAAATCCCAGGGGGGACATGGGATTTTAATTCCATGAAAATGAGGGAATTGCAATTCCCTCCAACCAAACTACGGAATTTAATGGCCTTTGAAATTTGTTGGGAATTAAGTGGAATGGAATTTAATAAAATCTCTCCAACCAAACGCCCTGTTATTGTTGAATAAATTATTATGGATAAAGAAATTCCTAATTTAAGGAATTTATATGTAGTAAAAATTTAAAATTTTTAATTATAATGTAACCCAAAGATATTGGACGATTGGAAAATATGATGTAACCCAAAGATCAAAATGCTAAAGAAAATGTTTTGATTATTCAACAGTTTGAAGCAACAATTTGTTCCAAACCACTGAAAATACAAAAATTACAATTTACAATATTTTCACCTAGCGTTTTTTAGAATGCTTTTCCCAAAATACATCTATATTTTAAAAAAATATTATTATTAAAACAATTATTATTATTATGTCATTTTAAATGTTAATTTAAAAAGCTAATTTTTAAAAATATCTTTTTACCAACCGTTGATATAATTCGCTGGTCAAATCCGCTAACGCTAACCGCTAACTGCGGATTGTCAAACAAGAACATTGCGAGGTAGTTTCTTACTTCAATTTGTTGTGTGATTTGAATACTCTCTTTGTCAACAAATCTCTCAAGTAGTCAATGTGATTGACTTTATTAATTTAAATTTTTTTAATGGTATTAATAAAATACTTGGTAAATAAATACATATCATTATTTTGTATTATAATTTCGATATTTAATTAGAAAATAGTGCACAAAAAAAAAAGATAATAGATAATGTTGTGAATATAATCAATTGATGAATTTGAATGTAAAGAATTTTTACATTGGAGAAAAATAAAGACAATATAACTAATGAAATTTTTTTTGAATAACTCTTAATAAAGACATCTCAATTAAATAACTCTTATTTTTTTTGAATGCTACTAGCTCTATTACAATGTAGTATCTGTTCATATACTTTCTCAACCTACTGAAACACAAAGAGCCAATAACGCCTCCACTGAGGCTCGAAATCACAATCTTCCAAATGGAAGTCCAACCCGGATACCATTAGACCACATAGTCCTGATAAATAACTCTTATTTAATTTATTGATAATGAATAATTTTTTTTTTTTTGAATAAAGGCATTGTAAACACATAATTCTAAATAGAGTACTAATTATGCCAACTTTGATTGAGATGAGATTCGAACCTAAGACCATTCTTCTTATTGAAATCAATGAGTAAGTTAACGGTGAACTAACAGAAACTAACGGAAAAGATAATATTTAACGAAAAAGTTAACGGATAATCATATTCATTAAGGATAAATTAGGAAATCCCAAGAAAAAATTAAAATCTGATTAATCTGAGCCATTCATTTGATTAAAAAAATTGACCATCATTTTTTTTTACCCATTATAGGCCTAACTCTCTTGGGTTCTTATTAGTATAGTAGATAGATTGTGGATATTGGTTCAAAACAATATCATTTCGTTTAAAGTAGCATTGCCGGCCTTTTTCTTTCTCTTTTTCTTTTGTTTTTTTTTTTTCTTTCCATTTGGTCAACACTCACATTTGTCGTAGGTATACATACTAATTGGTTAATTGTATTTTAATAATTTAAGTCTAAAATCTATAAGTACATAATCTGTTAATTATAAGTATATTATGTCAAGTAATTCTAACCATGTTTTAAGTTAATAATATGTTAACTGAAGGTACCTAAATATAAAGTTAGAATTGAAGTTCATAAATTGAGTATGCTAATACCTTATGAAGTTAATGTATTGAGATTATGAACTTGTAATATTTCATTTATGCAACTTCTAAACGTGTATTTACTTAGTAGTAGTCTTATTCATTGTTTATTAGTACAATTATGTGGTTGTATTCATGTAGTAGCATTTAAATGCAGTTTTGAATTAATGTTTGACATGTAATCATCATTATAGTATAATTTTAAAAGATATATATTTGGCTGAAAATTATCGAACTTTTATGTGTGTGTATTTTTTTTACTAAAACTCTTAACCATTGATGGACCATGATGGATGGTTGTGATCATCAGTACACACTTTTTTATAGGAGTTCTCATTTGAACCGACCCATATATATATAATTTGGATCAAATAAAAAGATGCACCCAAGTAAAAACAAATGAGGTGAGATTTCAGCCCTTGATCTGGTTCAGATCAATGTCCCTGAATGAAGGGAAAATTTAAAAAAAAAAACAAAAAAAAAAAAAAAACGCGATGACAGTTTGATAATTTTTCTAACTTTGAAGTGCATATAGATTTATACTACAAAGTGAAGTCTTATGCTACAAGTGTAAAAGTTTTATATTACAAGTAGATAAGTTTATACTACGAGTGCAGAGAGTAATATTAGTTTGAGATATTTACAAAAATGATATTTAAAAGTACATAAGTATTTACTATGCGGACTCTCAAATTCTATACATTAGTTATATATACTCACAGATGTAGCTAGCAAGTATGTATATGACATTTTCAGGAAAATACTATATGTCGACTCTCATTCTCTACACCCAACTTTTACTCTCACGCTCAAAATTTTGATGTAGACATTTTTACTAAAACCTACATAAAAAAAATACATTATTTGTGTATATTGGAGGTTCATTATTTGGTAGTATTTGAATACTACCAAATAATGAACCTCCAATACACAAATAATTTACATTCAATATATTAAAAGTAAATATTTATTCATAGAACGCGTATCATGGTCCACTATAATTTTCCCTCAAATGAAAATCTACACCAATATAATTCAATGATTAAAATGGATGTGCATATAGAATTGTTCTTTTTTTTTCTTTTGTCTGGGCATGAAGTGTTCTGAACAAGTTCTAACTGTAGAAAACACATTTATGTTTATATCATACTCAAACTAATTTTTATTCGCATTGAATAATCGATGGGACAAATTACTAATTATCATCATCAAAGCTTTTGCGGATTAGATTCATGCAAAATGTAGTTAGAAATGAGTAGCTTAGGACTAAAAATAGCTTAATAATTCAATGAATAAAGTATAGTAGATTTGATAGGGTCACGTGATTCTACAACCGATATGTGCTTTCCATAATGGCAACACACAGACGCCCGCCCCGCGTTTTCTTTCACACTGTCATCATCCAACCAAATTCGATCGCTCCAATGTTGCACAGAGAACTTTCACAACGTAAAAGAATAAAAATGAAGAATTACATTTTTTTTAATAAAAAAAAATCACCCTTATTTCTCCTTCTTGATCAAAATATCTTCATTTTTTTTTTTTTGCTTTATAAAGAGTAAGGTCGGTTTTTGGTCCGTGCATAATGTTCAATAGCAGAGGGTCTCAGTTTTACATGACTCAATATCTATTTTTGATCTAGTTGCTTAAGAAATTAAAAAAAAAAATACAATTAAACCCCTCTTTCTATCTTATCTAAAATTCATCATTTTTTTTTTCAAATCACACACCACCATTGAAGATGGCAAGATTCATCATTCCTCAATAATTTGACCCTTAATAATAATCAAATAAAAATTTGCATCAATCATTGAAATGAATTGGAAGCATTTATATATATGACTGGTCATTATCAGTGTTTTTGCATATAACATTAATGAAATTTAATTTATCAATAACTCTTGGTGAAATGGTATATGTTTGTGACTTTAAGATAAAAAGTTATAAATTTGATTCTCAATCCCGTCAAATATACTAAAATAAAAATGACATTCAATTTATCACCAGTGTGGTCAAATGTTCGAACCCATCTATATACAGTAATATCTTAGGGAAATCTCATTCTACGAGGTGTGAATACCCGTGTAAAAAAATATATATAATTAAAAAAACAAAGGAATAAAACAAATTTGATTTGCTTTTTAAAGACAAACTTGATATGATTTATTAGTAAATGACAACTAAAATGCACACTTTGATAAGCTCATCACCTTTGGTCTACCAACCACCACCACCCCAACCACCTCAATTCAAATACACAAATAATATCTAACCACTTTTCATATTTTTTGCTTTCCCCTCTTCTCACATGGTGATTAATCCAATTCCACTAATGTACACAAAAATACATAACAAAAAGCTAGCTAGGGAGTACCATTTTTACTTCTTTTATTTATTTATTTAACTTTGATTTTCTTTTGGTCTTAGACTCTCAACAATAATTGATAAGTGGGACCCAACTGGATGGGCCACCCCACCCCCCACCCCCCACCCCCACCCCCACCCCCCACCCCCACCCCCACCCACCACGTACAACTACTCTTCACAAAGGAAACATAGATTGAGTGACAATTGGGAAGAAATATTTGATCATATCCATTTTAGTGCATCCAGCATTCTGGGGTTCTGGAATGGTCTCTCTTGGAGTCAGTACAATAGTTGTACACCAAGTAGTGGCTCTCAATCCACTTCAGGGCCCTATTCTGCTGCCTGCTCAGCCCACCGGAGCGGTACGGCGAGGCGGTCAACGGGCGGCACCACCGCGGCGCATAGGCGGAGCATCCGCTCGCCTTGAAATTCGTGAGTTTTCCGACGAACGGCTCGTACCGGTAATCCGCCTTGTATTTTCCATCCTCAGTTGCCCAGGAGGATGCATCCCAGATGGATCCATATATCCACATTGGCCTTAGTGGAAATGTCTCAATGCTCTTCCTAGGGTACCTCCTTATTGGCACATCATCCACAAGAAATCTGTAATACCCAATTCAATAAATTAAACAACAATTTTTTAATTATTTTTTCTGTTGTTTTTTTCACTTTCACATGACATAAACTGGTAAAAGCTTGCAGTTATCACTGCACAAATAGCAACAAAACAGAAAAAAAAAAAAAAAAAAAATTGTAAAATCTGACATGGACCTCTCTAGCTACCTCTACTCCTGTCCTTAATTCACAGGCCAAAAAGAAACATTAAACAAAATTGACAATTTCCTTTACACTCATTGGAGGACAAAAATGCTCTGTGATCAAGTAATGGGCATATCATGGCATAGACCCAAGTATGAATATGAAAATATATCATTAGTGATGATTTTGTATTCGTGTCAAAAATAATGATGTGACAAGTTAAACGTTATTAAATGTCATGAACACTTATGGAAGTGATCACTAACTATTCAAGGCACGATATAAATCTGGTAAAAGGTTTCCGGTTCAATAATTCTCGTTTTCGTGATTTGATGTATCAAAGAAAAGGGCTTAGCTTACATGATCTCTCTAGGGCTCCAAAAGATGGCATAGTGATGAAAACCTTGTGTAGGGTCAAACCACAAATGGTACTTCATTTCCCTACCAACAATGTTACCATCTCCACTCCCTCTCACATACACATTGGTCTGCAATGTGTATGGCTTCCCAAATGTGGTCCCAAGAAACTCAATGTCCACTTCATCATGGAACCCTGGGTGTTCTTCAACATTTGAAAGCTGCAGATCAGGTTTCAAGAATATTATTGCCATCAATATTTCAAGTATAATAAACTTCATCAATCCACAGACCAACTACTATGTAGTGTGATGACACATCTGTTACCATTGGATCGAACCCCGTGGTGGGGCATTGATTTTTTCAGCCGAAAAAGATTCAGAAAGTATAGAACAGATACTACCTTGTCTGTTTTAGAACCAGCACCTTAAAAACATCATTAAAAGAAGCTAATTAAGGAAAATTCATGAATTCTCACATAGAAGGCAGTGATCACTCCTGCAGTGTACCCAGGTTGAAGCTTGATGGAAGCTCCGAAGTACCCAGAACGGAATGGTTTAACGGATTTGAACCCACTTCCTGGAATCAAAATAAAAGTTGCAGAAACACAGTTTTAGTACAGTAGTACAACAACAAAAGTGGAGGTTTGGGAAAAGAAACCTGACCTGATGTCCTGTCAAGCCACATGGTTAAGCCATTGTTATCCACACTTTGGTGGGTTGAGCCCCAAAGATTCCTGTACCCATCGTAGAAGTTCATGGACCTGAACTTTGAACTGGGGTAGTAGCCAGGGGAGGGTGGCCAGTCACCAGCATTGCTTGGAGTTGGTGGGATCACAGTGAGGAAGAGGAAGAGGAAAGGGAGGAAGATGGAAGCCATGGGAGACAGAGATTGAAATCTGTGCAAGGAATTAAATGGAGAAGAAAGTAATTGGAGAAACTCTGTACATAAATGCAATTGAGACAAGGGAGAACTGAATGCAATGTGTGTCTATGGAGGGGGGAAGAGCATGGTAGTAAAGATGGCATAAATAAGAAGATTGGTGGGTCCCATCTTGAATTGGGGAATCATGGTGGTAGGAGTTCTTGATTGATTATACTCTATACTCCAAAAATGTATACAATCATAGAAATTAATTTTGTCCAACCATTTTAATTGAATTATTTCTAATTTTTTCCCTCCTACTATTTTTTTTTTTTTTTTTGAAGGGACCCTCCTACTATTTGGTGCATGGTTTTTATTTTTATTTTTGTCATATTTAATGCTTCAGACCCAATTTCTTATAAAAAAAAATTAGTTAAATGCATCATATTTTCAATTCAAAATCATACATTTTTAAATACCTCAATATTTTGAGAGAATATATATGACTCCAAATTGGAAATGTGATGCACTTTAACTATTCCTTTTAAAGATTTGTTTAAAAAGACATAATGTGACAAAAGTTCGTACTAAAAATTGTGTATTAAATGTAACAAAAAGTGATTTAATAGCCATCGGATAAAAATGAATATAAACAATGATATATCCTACGTAAGAACTCTTCATCATTTGTTCAGTTCTCAAGGGTGTGCTCATTTTGTCAACCATAGAATAACTTACCTGATTCTACGATAGTTAGTTTCTAGCGAATTGAGCTCTTATCAATTTTCTTTTGAAACGATCTCACTTCTCTCCCACATATGTGATTATCTAACAAGTATCTCACTAGCAAGACTGTCTTCAGTTATGTGGGAAACGACTCACAAGCTGGGGCGGGGATCGGTTAAATAAGTTTGGAGAACAAATTAAACAGCTGCGGAGGCAACATGACTGTTTAAGAGGAAGGAGAGACCCGGCATCACTGGCCGAGTTTCAGCGCCTGGAGGCCGACCTATGTAGGCTGGAATCGATGGACGATTCTTTTTGGAAGCAGAGGGCGAAGCAGCACTAGTTGTAGGGTGCGGATGCCAACACCAGTTTCTTTCACAGGTATGCCTCTGACCGTAGAAAGAAAAATACCTTGAGTACATTAAAAAATGCTAATGGGGAGTGGGTGGATGGGAATGTTATGAAACTCACTATTATGGATTATTTTGATGGAGTGTTCCGTTCGGGCAGCCCCCCGGACGAGGACCACATGTTATTCTCATCAATGCAACCCCGGGTTTCTCAATCTCAGAATGAGGCCCTACTTTGCCCGTTTACATATGAGGAAGTCAAAGAGGCTTTGTTCGCCATGTTTCCTGATAAATCCCCGGGCCGGATGGTATGAATCTGGGTTTCTATCAACACTTCTGGGATGTGGTGGGAGATGATGTTTCAGCTTTTATTGTTAACTGTTTGAATACTTGCTGTTTCCTGGAGGGTCTCAATAGTACGAATGTAGTTCTAATTCCTAAAAAGAAAACGCCAAAATTTGTAACTGATCTTAGGCCAATTGCGTTGAGTAATGTGGTTTACAGAATTATGGCTAAGATGATAGCAAATAGGATGAAGCCATTGATGGAGGGAATAATTTCTGATTCACAGAGTGCTTTCATACCTGATAGGCTAATAACGGATAATATTCTGTTAGCTGCGGGAGTTGGCCATTATTTGAATAGAAAACAGTGTGGTTTGGTGGGATGGGGGCCTTGAAACTTGATATGGCTAAAGCTTATGATAGAATGGAATGGATATTTTTACGAAAAATGTTAACAGCCCTGAGTTTTGATGTCAAATGGATTGATCTGATTATGTATTGTGTCTCCACGATCTCATATGAATTCTTGATCAATGGTGCCCCATCGGGCCGAGTTGTCCCTACAAGGGGCTTGAGACATGGAGATCCTCTCTCCCCGTATTTATTCATAATATGTGCAGAGGCCTATTTATTCTTTTGCAGCAGGCGCAGCTTCAGGGTAGAATACATGGTTGTAGAGTTGCCAGGGGGCACCCCTTGTATCTCATTTATTTTTTGCAGATGATAGTTTGCTGTTCTTTAAGGCGAATATGGGAGATGCAAGTGAGGTGAAACAATGTTTGTCTGTGTATGAAGCAATGTCTGGCCAGGCGGTTAATTATCATAAATCTAGTGTGTGTTTTAGCAACAATACTACCACGGAGAACAGGGACCAGGTGGCGCAGCTTTTGGGTGTTCCTCAAGCTCCCAATTTTGGGAAATATCTAGGATTGCCTTCTTTTGTTGGAAGGAATAAGAAAGCAGCTTTTTTATACATTGAGGATAAGATAAAACAGAGAATTGGCTCTTGGAATAAAAAGCTATTATCTCAAGCAGGTAAGGAAATACTTTTAAAAAGTGTGGCACAAGCTATGCCTACCTTTTCTATGAGTGTTTTCTTGCTCGTTGAAGTAGTATGTCTGGCCATTGAGAGAACGATGAATAGATTTTGGTGGGGCTCAAGGTCTGACCGCCGTATTCACTTGAAAGCGTGGGATAAATTGTGTGTCCCGAAGAAATATAGAGGTTTAGGCTTCAAGGATCTGCGTGCCTTTAACCTAGCAATTTGGGTAAACAGGGGTGGAGATTCCTTATAAAATCTGAATCTTTAGTGGCAAAAGTTTACAAGGCCAGGTATTATCCTAAGACATCTTTTGTGGAGGCAACCTTGGGAAATAATCCAAGTTTCTGTTGGCGAAGTATTTTGGCAGCTCATGATTTAATATGCAGCGGTATAAGGTGAAGGATTGGGAATGGGAATGACACGTTGGTCTGGGGTCACCCATGGCTACCAGATGACCCGGACCCAATGGTTCAAACAGATATGCCCCAAGAATTGGCAGACTCAAAAGTGGTAGGATTGATTGATCAGGATACTAGGACCTGGGATCCCCATATTCTCCAGGATTTGTTCATACCTAGTGATGTGGCTTGTATTATTCGTATTCCTATATGCCCGGATTACTCAGACTCATGGTATTGACAAGGGGGCTCAAATGGAAACTACACAATTGAGGGTGGTTACAAGCTTGTAGTTGGAAACTATGCCCACAACCCAGGGGCTTTTAGTGAATGGCTACTGATATGGAAGATGAAAATACCACCTAAATGGAAACTATTCTTATGGAAGTCTTTAAGTGGTGTTCTCCCCACCACTACCAATCTAATAACAAAGAGAGTAGAAATTGATCCAACATGTTCTATGTGTGCTACCCATCATGAACATACTATGCATGCACTAGTAAACTGTGTTTTTTCCCAATCCGTATGGCAAGAGTCTTTGTTGCCTATTATGCATGTCTCGGCCGACTCATTTCAAGCATGGTTTATTATGGTTATGAATTCACTCACCCCTAACCAACTTATTATAGCAGCCGCGATTCTATACTATGTGTGGACGGCGAGAAATCAAGCGGTTTGGGAGCAGACTCTACCATTGACCAGGAGGGTGGTGAACGCTGCCAGAGCAGCAGTCCATAGGGGATAAGGCTGGGATTACCCCTGCAAGCCCAACCTTTGCAAGATGACATGGAAGTTGCCATGTATGTTTTTTTTTTTTTTTTTTTAATGGTGATTAGGATTGCAAGTTTGCACTGCATGCAAACTTGCAACTATACAAAAAGCTACCGTTTGCGGCAGCTTTTTGTACTTTTTTTTTATTTGTTTTTTTTTTATTTGTTTGTTTTATTTTGTTTATTTAATTTTGTAAAGTGATGTGAAATTGGGGTTCACTTTTGAAGGTTGATTGGATTTGCAGGGATGTAGTGTGAATAGTAGATGATTTACAAATGGGATGATGTGGAAGTGGGACCCATTTTTGAGAGTGGGAGATGTTTGCAGGTATAAGGACCGCCTAATATTTTCAAAAAGAATATAGGGGATAATATAATTGAATTAGAATAATACTTTTAAATATTAAATATGAGTGATAATTATTTGACGGCGAAAGCTAGAAAGCGGAAACAAAAAGACGAGATCTCAAAGGGGGAGATGAGTTTGGTACGGTATTACGGTGTGTATTAAATGCCCACTCCTCGTCCAAAACTAAACATATAAATAAAATAAAAAGAAAGAAATATCACAATCTATTTATTAGTTTTGCAGGTTTGCATATGACTCTACAGGCTCTTGGGCATGTCCCCTTATTATGATTCAGATTTCATTGCATCCTAGCTCTCAGCTTAAAGCAACATATATATATATTGCTCTATTTGTTTCTCTTTTTAACCCTTGCCTTTAAAGCAACAATTTGGAATTACATATTTACCTTTCCCTTTTTCTTTTGGATCTTTAAACTTTCTCTTCCAACTCGAGCCACCTCGGTAAAAGAATGATATTTTCTTATTAGAATGATATAGTGAATTCAATTCCTTGACTAAATGAATTATTAGAAGATAACGACAAAATTCTAAATCTCATTTTTTAAGGAATATGTGTAATTTTATGATTCTTTATTTAGGTTTCAATCTAACACTTCTACCTTCTCAATTATTGAGATAAGATAGTGTTAGGATCAAGAGCTTACCATTTACGCCAAAAGCATAACTAGTAGTGAATGTGTAACCTCATTTCTTTATACAATCACACATTTCTGAGATTTGGCCTTTACCGGTCTCCGCCCAATAAATATAATTAGGAAGTTTTTGGCAATTAGCTGATAGCCTATAGGTGATGGTTGATTGGTTTAGCTAATAGTTGATTATGTTAACTATTTTGGCTATTAGTATTAACTGGTTATAGAAAGGTATTTGGTAAATAGTTGTTTACTCCAGATTGTGTATAAAATGACTTATAATCTCATAAATATATTGTGTGATTTCCTTAATTCTTAAATTACTTTTACAGTTTATTGTTCTTGTTGTTATTAATTATTTTTTAACTAATATATTTTAGTTTATTATTAATAATGTTATAATTAAAAAAATACTCCGTAATTAATAATAATTCAACATAATAGTTAACACAATGTGTGTTAAATTGAGCTAGGGTCAATTAAGATGTTGGGTTTTAGGCAGGTTATGATATATTAAAAATGTAAAATTGAATAAAAATTTGATAAATATAAACACTACAATAACCAACAAGTGCTCATGGTA